CCTCGCTGCCGGCCGGATACGCGAGACACGAACAGCTGTACCGATCGTTCTACGAGGACCCGGCGGCCGCCGCGTACCACGCGCGCACGTTCGGCAGCGGCGGCGCCTCGATAGTGTTCCAGCCGTCAGCCGCCCATCAGCACCATTTGCACCAGCAGCAGCAGCAGCAGCAGCAGCAAATGCACGCGGTCGCCGCGGCCGCGGCCGAGCCGTCGCCCGTATCGTCCACGTCCGACACCGAATCCGTTGTGGCCGTCCAGCACGCCGAACGCGCTTAAAACTCTTAAGGCTCGACTGCGCCCGCGTACACACACACACGCGCGTAAATCCAAAGATGTAATAGAAAAATCAAACGTTGTTCGTGTACATAGTATATATCTAATATTAAAAAAAAAAAATTATTGTTGTACATATTATAATGCGTAGTGATATATTATTATACGCATAAATTATTATATAAATATTAAATTAAAAAGAAAAACCCGTATAAGTATATATAATTTATATATATATATATATATATATATGATATTTTTAAGCATAGAAAACGGCATGTATAAAACATTGTGCGGACAATAATAAAAAATATTAATAATAATAATTTATTTAATAAATAATAATAATCGAAAATGAATAATAACTTTTTTAAATTAAAAACAATTATATACGTATTGAATAATAATTATCACGAAAAATATACACATTCGTATACGTATATTAAACATGGTACGTACATGGCGTGTCGACAAGTTGTTATTGTTTAGTAGTCGTGGGAGTCATGGTATGGTGGGGACGTGTTGTTAGGTGTGACTTATCGCGCATACATTATGTGCGCTCGGACTTTTTAGAAAATCGTTATTTTTTTCTCGTGGGATCGCGTTGCGGTCGCATTGTAGAGGAGGACTACTTAAGATTTTCGATACTATTTCCTTTTCCCCTCGATACACGTTTCGGACGTTTACCGATAATATTATTGTGTACGTGTACATAAAACAATTGATTATTATCTGTATCCGTATAGGACCGGCGTATCCGAATGCGTTCGGTTTGCGACGACTGGACGATATTTGCCTGGGGTTGGGGGGGGGTACGACTTTATCATGTTCTACTATATTTATGTGTATATATACATTATTATTTGCTCGCACGAGAACTGCCAAATACCTAGTACGACGTGATGCCGTTTTTGCGATGACATTTACGTTTTTATTTTATTTTATTTTTTTATTTCACTTTTCTTTTCTTTTATCTTATCGTTTTTAGAAGTAATCTACGATTTTTGAAAAAATATATATACTTATATATGCATATATATGTTACGTGTGTATGCGTACGAACTAGACGGAAATGTTTTATGTTTTACAAAAACTATCAAACAATAACATTAATATATACTATCTCTTCTCGTGCATCATAATATATATATATATTGTTTTCCATTTTAGTGTATATTTAGCGGTTTGTACATTGTACGATATAATTATATTTATAGTTGTACGCGATATTATTTTATTTTGTAATTAATTGGAATTGAAAAAAAAACCATTGTTATAGCTTTTAAATTTAAATTATTCTATTATGTTTTTTTTTGTGATATTGTAGTCGGTACTTTTCCTAATACATTGTTTTTTCTTAAAAAAAAAAAAAAAAGTTGCTCTTTATTTTTTTTTAATTTTATTATTCATCCACAGTCCACTCTATCGCGCTCCGTGTTGCAGTTGACCGTGTATTAATTTTTTTTCAAAACACGTTTTTTTCGCGGTCGACCGCGATGTGAACAGACTCAGCCGAAACAAGGAGCGATTGTTATTTTTCTTTCACGTTAATTTGAAAAACGAAAAAAAAAAATTGTCCGCACACTTCTCTTCGTTTACGGCACAGCGAAGTCGAACGGACACGTTTCGTACGCGTTGCCGATCAGAAAAACTCGCGCAGAAGAGATGCGTTCAGCCCCGTCGCGTTGGTCTCGTATTCGCATAAACCGCCGCTGCCGAGTCCGTGTGTCGTTGCGCGTACTGCAGCGCGAGTGACGTGCGAGTGCCGCACGTAGAGAGAAACGGAGAAAAATGGTTAAAACGCCGAATCGCGGATTAAGATCGATACCGCAGCGGCGGCGATCTGTCACGCAGCTGTGCTAATTGTCGAAATTTATAAGCGGTGGGTAAAAAAAAAAAAGATTAAATAAAAAAACCAACACGATTTATTGTGTCTTCGTCGGAAAGACACGGTTTGATATATTTTCAGGTAAAGAAAAAAAAGAAAAAAAAATACACGCAATGGCGAAAAAGTCGCGGAGAAAGCCGCTTACATGTGTACAGCGCAGTAATATAAATAAGAGACGTGTCCCCGAGTCGCAAAACGTATAATATATTTTAAACGACGACGAGATAGACAGAGGGAGAGGGAGAGAGACGGACAGAAAAAACGCATGTACGAAACGAACGACCGGCGACGAGACACAATCGAAAGGTCATCGCCGGCGGTCCTCTCGGCTCGCGAACGGATAACGTTTCGCGCAAACGATGACCGCCGCAACAGTATTTCATGTGTTGTACGCGCAGCGTCGCAAAGGGAGTTAATTCGCTCGAAAAAAAAACGTCCGTCGCCCTCGCCCGAGGAACGCGTTCGGACGATCGGAAGAAAAACAAACGTTCCGAATACGAACCGCGGGTCCGATCGCGCGTTTTTTTCGAAGAACCGAAACCGTCCGTCTGGCCCACCCGTACGTTTCACGATCACGCCCCACGTAAAGCACACGCATCCAGTCGCGATTCTCCCCACCCCCCAAAAAAAAAAAAAAAGAATTATAATATTACACGTCAAGCAATAATAAAAATTATATTTTTTCTACAAAAACACTGTATAAGAAAATATAAGAAATATTTACGGTAAGCAATGCACGGTAATACTTATAAAATTATTGAATTTTATACATCATATGTCTACAATATAAAATCCCCCCCCCTAATAACTACTCTGCGCCTGCACGCACCTGTGTACGCGTATCGCGGCCACAGCTCGTGTCGCTTTTATCGGTGTATCACCCGCATGTCGTCGTGCTCTCTCGGTCGCCAGCGAGCGAACATTCGTTACGATACGGATGAACGAGACTACTGGCGACGCAGGTCGAGTTCGGTCGACGCACGAGCGAACAAAAGTGACGAATGCATGTTCACGTGTACGATCGTGTGTGAACGGTGCGCGTTTGAGCGTTCGGGATCCGTTCTTCATCGTTCGCCGAACAGGTCGAGCCGATCGCTGTCGGTACTTTTGTCGCGCGGATTATGATTTTGTGATGAGCTAATAACAGCCTGGAACAGCGGTGAAAGGGTGAACGTTGTTCGTGACACGCGTCGCACATTCTGTACTCACGATCGAACGAAATTCATCCGGACGCTCGCGCGTGTTCACCCTGTGCGACGCACGAACGAGCTCTATCCGAGCGTGGTTCACAACGTGTTTTCGTCACCGCGCGAAAACCCGAACTCGCGCAGCGACCGCGAGTGAACACACGGGGCGCGCGGTAACGAGAATACGAACTCGACGAGGGCAACGGTAAGAGAGAGAAAAGAAAACGTCGTTCGAGCGTACACCGGCTAGACGTGCGCGTACGAAACGGGTGGGCGGCGGAGGCGAAAACAATCGGTCTCGGCGGCGGTGTGAAATATTTGCCGGCGACATTTAATGGCCAATTAAACGGACGGCAAGAATGCGCGCGCGCTCGCTCATCGCCACGCGCGCGCGTCTGTGCATCGAGCACATTGTTGCGAAACGCGTTCCAAGGCCCAAATTGTGACGGTCGTCGTAAATCACACGCTCGCCACACGAGCATATTAGGCGTGCCGTGTACATCGGAAGGAGGTGAGAACGTGTATATTCCGAGGTTTTTTTTTTTTTTCTCTTGTGCCGCGCGACTTCCCAACACCTCCGAAGACGGTCGTGTGCGATCAGATAAAGCGAGTTTTTAACAAATCGACGTGTCCCCGAGTGCGCGCGCGGCTCGGACCACCATCATCGGTTACGACAAATATTCCGCCGCCGGGGAAGAACAATTATTTCGATTTTACCGCGACGGCGTACGTGTTCAGCGGGTATTGGCGCGCGCGAACAATGCGTCCGGACCCGACGGTGTGTACGCGCGGCGCGTTTCGTTTCGTCGACCTTTCTCGCACCGTTCGATCGCGCCGCAGCGAACACCAATCGTGTACTCGGGTCCCGTGTGCCCACGAACGCTCGGTACCGCGCGTTTTCAATACGTTACGTGCACCGCGCGGTACGGTGTCGCGCTAAACCGATTGTGCGCACGTCCTGCAGCGGGACGTTGTACCGGGATCAGCGGGGAGAACGTGGAACGACGTCTCCGGGGGAAACACGATACCGACGAACAACGAACGAAGAGCAAATGCTGTACATCTGTGGTTCGGTGCAGAGGAACAGTCACGTTTCGACGCGATTGACGTTGTTGGGCCGATCTTGTTGTAATCAAATGCAGAACGAGTCTTGCCATAAATAATAAAAGATTCAGCGGAGTATCATAATTTTTCGAGTTCCTGAATCAAGTTTAAAAATGTTATTTTAACGTAAAAAATTGGCCAGTTTAATGTTTTTATTCCTGAATATTATTATGATGTGACATCGGCTCTTCTTGCACCAAATCACAGATGTTATAAGTACTGTACGCACACGTTAGGGAGTGTATTCGTCTCTATTTTGCGACCGCGATTCCTCCCACTCGTCTTCGTACATGCGTGTAATAACGACAAAAATGCGAGTCTCGCGTCCAAACGGGGTCCGGTCACCTGTGTACAATACTGCGGCTAACATTATCCGTTTATATTCTCCACGTATACATATATTATTCACGGTGTCATTAGTCTCGTCACCGATATGACTTTCAAAATGTTGTGTTTGAAATTGAGATAAAATCCAATCGTCAATGTAAGCAATCTCAGTACACAAAATAATTAGTAAGTTATTAAACTGTGTATTATGGCTTTCGTTTTACTTAGGAATATCCAAAATAAATATTTGGTTCTCAAAATCGGTTTTTTTTTATATTTTCTTCTTCTTTTTTTTCTGTTAAAACTTAACCTATTGTAGTGAGTAGTGACATATTTTATCTGTATGTAAAATGGGCATGTGGACCGTAGCTTCTGCGGGTCTGTGTTATTTTAATAATTTTGTTCCCTCCCCTAAAAAATATAAACCATAGTTGCTCTTAGCCTCTCGACCAAGAGAGATGACAACGCGCTAGATATCTTGCCAGGCGTGGCAGATTCTTTTGAGCCGTCGCGAGGATACGTATCTGACCACTATAAATATATATATATATAAACCAGTATGTGTAACCAGAGATAATGGGCAATCGGTGACCCGCGTAACCTTTAAACATTTTATGATATAGAGATTAAAAATAAAAATTTCTCGATAATATTTTGAGAAAC